TCCCCGCCCGCCGCGCTGCCTGCTGCAACGCCGCGGCCGCGGCCCGAGCCCGCCGCGAGCGCGCAACCTACCCCGCCCGGCTGCCTCCGCCCGGGAGGGGAAGGCGAGGCAAGGCGGGAGTGACAGCTCCAGCCGGCCAATGGGAAGCCCATAGGGCTGAGGGGGCGTCGCGCGGCCACGTTTTTTAGGGTTGGTTGCACTGTGCGAACCCCCCGGAGAAGGCTGGAGGGCGATGCTGCTGTGTTTTTGCATTGCGGAGAGCCGGCTGCGGAGTAGGGGCGGGGCGGTGGGCGGTGGGCGGTGGGAGAGGCGGTTTCAGCGGCATCTTCGGGACCTTCCCAGGAAAGGCTCTCCGGGGATTTCCCCCACCTATTCGCCTTATTTGGCAGGGAGGAGGCGCCATAGGGATGTTTATCATCATTGGGTTTTTTGGTCTCTAACTTGGCACATTATGTTATTTACATAAGGGAGACACCGATCGCCACTAGGATGCTTGTCTGAGTCCCAAACCTATGTCTCCATTCACAGCTGCCATCACTAAGGGGAAGGGGTATTGATGGCAGGAGGTTGATAGATACAAAATAATAGAAAAAGAGTGCTTTCTCGCCACAAATCTCAACCAAACTGCCCAGAGTAAATCTGGAGGCAGAAGAGAACAAATGTTGGGGTTACTAAGATATGGAGAGGAGTAGCAATAATTATCCCCATGTGAATGCCAATTATATGACTACTGTGCTTACCAACGGATTTTGCTCATCCAGCAAACAGTGGTTCTCACAATGTGGCCCTCAGATCAGGAGCATGGGTGTCACCTAGGAACTTGATAGAAATGCAAATTCTTGGACACCAGCCCAGACTTAAAGAATTAGAAGTAGTGGGCCAAGAAATCTGTGTTTTGATAAGCCCCTCAGGTAATTCTCACATAGATTAAGGTTTGAGAACCATTGGCCTAGATTATGGTTCAGGGGCCACGCAGCAGTCTGTGAGTCACAGTGATGCTCTTTAAAGGATTTGACAGTTTACCAATCTCTTTCACACCCATCATGCCATTCTAGCCTTACTTCAGTCCCACTAGTATGTGAATTTCCTGACTCTCTGTTCTGTCTTCTTCCCATTCCAACCACTCATTTTAATGTGTATCCTAGAAGGGACTAATTTGTTAAGAATTTACTTCAGTCAAGCAGCTACTTTCTAAACTAAGCAGCTCCATTTTTAGCAGATAGGAATTTAGGAAGGGCTGGGAATGTAGAACCGCCCCCTACATCCACTACACAGTATCAGGCACAATGTGGAAACACAAAGCTATAAGCCTTTATTTAGCATTTTTGATGGTGAGGGGATGGCAGAATGCCAGTGTAGACTGTGGGATGGACTAGAGGGAACCAGTGGGGGCAGATTCCCATGATGCAAGATGTGAGGCAGAGGAATATACTGCCCCCTGCCTACTTGGCCCAGAGAAGTAGAGAGGACTCGCAGACCCCTGGCAGGTCTAAGGCACCAAGCAGTAGCCAGCAAATGGTGAGCACATTGTGACACATGTTCAAGATTTGACTCTAAGCTGAAGAAAAGAAGAGGGATTCAGTGTGAATCTTTAAGGAAGCAGAGAGTATTCTAATTTTGAATTCTGTCACATTTCTTTATTGAATAGATGTTACAGTTAAGTTTGACTTTTTTATTATCATATACATACAGCATGATGGTGGTCAAACTTTCTATTATAGCCCATATCTAGCAAGGTGTGATGCAGGTCACCAAAAATGTCTGTGGCGTGCTTAGTAAAATCAGCTAATACTTCACTGAGTGTCATATTATATAAGAAACATGCTACTGCCAAAGACGTTTCAGTGAGAAGTCAATACGGTGTAGTGGGTAGTAGAAAAAACACTGGTCTTGGTGTCAAGAAAATTCATGTAAGAATTCTTTTTTTTTTGTTTTTGAGACAGAGTCTCACTCTGTCTCTCTGGGTAGAGTGCCATGGCATCATGGCTTATGGCAACCTCAAAATCTTGGGTCCAAGCAATCCTCTTGCCTCAGCCTCCTGAGGAGCTACAGGCGCCTGCCACAATGCCAGGCTATGTTTTAGAGATGGGGTCTCGCTCTTTCTCAGGCTGGTCTTGAACTTGTGAGCTCAAACATTTTATCTGCCTTAGCCTCCCAGCGTGCTAGGATTACAGGCGTGAGCCACTGAGCTGGGCCCTACAGACTGGTATCTTGGTCTTGCTTAGGCTGGTCTCGAACTCCTGAGCTCAAGTGATCCACCCTCAGCCTCTCAGAGTACTAGGATTACAGGCATGAGCCACCACACCTGGCCCATATAAGAATTGTGATTCTGGGCTCGGCGCCTATAGCTCAACCGGCTAAGGCACCAGCCACGTACACCTAAGGTGGCGGGTTCAAATCCCCAGCCCGGACCCGCCATACAACAATGACTGCTGCAATCAAAAAATAGCCGGGCGTTGTGGCGGGCGCCTGTGGTCCCAGCTAC